GTATGAAGCATGGAAATATAGTTAAAATTGTTTGGTATCAGACAGAGTAAATTAACAAGACAGAGTAAATTAATTTAACAAGACAGAGCACATTAGGCCAAATTGCAGGTCAATGGGTCCCCCTGCATTATTGCAGGCCTATGGACAGCTCTACCTGTAGCATACTGTAATGACTCATTCATGACAGAAAATTGGCTATTGCACATTAACCCTTCATACTTCTGGCATAATTTAGATTATTAAAGCACCAAACTACTAAAGCCCTGGGGCCGGTTGTTCAAAGCTGGGTTACAATAGCTTAACCCTAGGTTAATCTAAAGTTCAATCCAAACTTCCTGACAGCTTGTCTATAAATTTTAAAATATTTCTTCAGATATCTTGTCTGGATCATCGATAGGAGTTTATTTTTTTGAAGTTTTGAAACAAACAGACTTGTAGAAATACACAAACTAAAACAGCAGGTTAAATTTAACCCAGGGTTAGCGCTAACCCACCTTTGAACAACCGGCCCCTGTTGTACACTATATGCTCAATTTTTAGTATGGCACAGATAAAACTGGTGCTTGTACCAAATTTACCTGTGCTCGGCCTGTATGAATAGGTAGTCCAAGCATAGTAAACATGTTACAGGTACCAAAATTGAGCACAGTGTCAATTATGTAGTTACTTAATTTTTGTAGGCCACCTTAGCTGGGCCAGTTTGTCATTTTAACTAAAAGCAGACTATTTATTCTTGTTAATTCTTACCTTACAACACCAGTTTGTCAACTCAATCCAGATCTGATTGTTGTGATTTGAGAACAATATTTGGAGCTAGGCTATAACCCAGTTCGAATATTAATCTGAAAATATATAAAGAGAACATTTGAGGCATTGTCTCAGTGCTCGTATACATATTCCAGCTTTTACAAACATATCATTTTATACAACTGAAGCTCGTTAATAAAGAGCTTGCAAGACTCTCCCCTTGACGAGTAAAATTGTCTGGCATTAGGAAAAGTAATTACTTTAAAGCAGCACATTTTATATTTAAAGCAGCACAGTTGCAGCTTAATGGGTTAAGTAAGGATACATACACTGATATATCACATTCAATGCTGTAATTTTTCTGTAATTACAATCCTTATTCATGTATTAAAATGCTGACATATCTTTAACAGCATTCAAATGTTTAATATATTATTTCGTATTGTTAAAAGCACAAGTATGTTTAATATATTATTTCATATAGTTTTATTATTAAGTTTAATAATATACACCCTTGACAAAGGTCTAGAAAAGTGCCAAAGTTACTGTATTTGCCATTAATGCCAAAGACAATTATTGCTAAATTGTTGATATTAATAGTGCACAATTTAGTACAGAATTTACTATAATAGATTCGAATTGATATTTTGTTCTTTCTTTCCTTGCCAGAAACCAACATTTCATATGTTTCTTATGCAAATTGAACACAGCAAATTCAAAATTATATTCAACAGAATTTCAGACACATGGCTCAAGTAACAATCATATTTTCACTACATTCTTTTGCAATTTAAAGTGCTTGAAAAACAAGTCAAAATAAAACTATTCTTACCTGTGAGATCTGAATAACATTTTACGAATTTTTCCATGCCTTTTCCATCGTTTGGGTTTGAAATTTCGATAAATTTCTTCACCATGTAAGACATGTAAATGTGCTTTCAAATTTTTAGCACAAAAATTTGAAACGACGCTATCCCATGACACTTTGTGCTCCCACACTTAAACTAGGCACCAGGCCTCCAGGCAATAGAATAGATAGAAAAGCTTTATTTGCCCACGCTAACCCTATCAACCGAAGCTGATTTCCATAGGGGGCGTGTCATGCATAAGAAAAATTACAGTAGTACAAGCGAAATATTACATGAATATAGTTATTTACAAATATGAGGTATAGTAACAAGAAGTACAAATTAGCTAGATAGTAGGAATGGTAGAATAATTATTTACAAGTAGTAGAACAAATAGTCTTAGAAAATATGAGCAGCAATTTTCTTTTGAAAGCTTGACAGGGATTGACTTTCCCTGATTTCATTTGGGACAGAGTTCCATAGTTTAGCACCATCATACATGAAACTATTTTTCATGCTATTGGTGCGTGGTTGTGGTAGACAAAGACCAGATGAAATATTTCGAAGTTTATAATTGAGAGATTCAGGGCCTGTTTTATTTAGAGTTTTGTACATCATTCTTGTTTTTGCCTTTTTCCTCATAATATCAAGTGGCTCCCAGCCCAAGGCACACAAAGCAATAGTGTGATCTACATCATTCTTCATATTTGAAAATAATTCAAGCAGCTCTGTTTTGGAGCTTTTGTAGTCGTTTTGATTGTATTTCACCCAATACTGTATTTCTGAACAATAGTCGAAGTAGGGACGTACGATGTCATTGTATATGGAGGTAAGCGTATCTCTTTCAGCAATAAATGGTTTGACACGATGTAGAGCTGAGATTCCTGATGTTATTTTTTTGCAAATATTTTCAGAATTGGGTTTCCAAGATAAATGCTGATCAATAATTATTCCTAGAGTTTTGGCTTTGTTTACTTGTTGGATTTGTTTGTTTTCAATTAGCTTCTTTTCAATTGCTTCAGTTGTCATGCAAGGCATGTAATATAGTTTCTAGCTCTACGAATATAAGGAATATTCACAAATGTTTTCAATCAGTTATTGACTGTTAATTTATTTATAATAAATTCTCGGAAAATGAAAATTCTCTACAATGATTCAATAAAACATGGAAAGAACTCAACTTTAGGAATTGTAGTTATATGGTACCAGGGACGATGGAAAGGGGGTGGGGCAAGGTCTCCTTTCATAAAGGGGGCAAATGTAGCATTTTAATATAAATAAAACACAATATTTTTGTCCCAAACTTACTTTAATAACAAATTAATTAACAAAGATAAATATGATAGAAGAGAATTTGTATATTTATTTAGCTATTTCCCAAAGTCCTGGGTCTAGTTGCACAAATCCCTTGTTGGAGGGACAAGAAATATAGCAGCACATGTTTAAATTAAAGTTTAATGTAAAAAGAAGATATTTCATTTTTGGTCATGTAAAAAGTTGATATTTGATAGTAGATACTTCTACTCTTTCACATATTTGATGCCTGTCTCCATATATTTTGTCCCTCCAAACGACCCCAGAATATGCACTGTGATCTCTTTTGAAAAAAGCCAATTACCGTAATGTGAATATACTAACCCATATAGAACTAAATCCAGGATGACATTTGACATCTTGTTAAAAGAATACCAGTATGGAGTAAAATATATCATTTTGGAAAAAATATGCAAAAGATGTTATATTTAAATTTTAATAAATTTATTTTCATTCTTCGAGAAAATTTAAGTAAAAATAATTTATTATTAACCATTATTTCTTATGTTGAAAATTTGATTTCTTGTTTTAAAAATTTTCTTAAAGGACATTGGCAACCAAAATTTTTATTTCTTCATCTGAAAGAGCATGAAAAAATAAGCCGGTTGGCCGTTTAATGCTCTATTCTATCTCATCTAGTTCCGAAGTTATACGCAAAAATGTACAAAATATAAATTGATTCAGTACAATGTGTGACATCATTAGTTGGGTAAGTATGTTTATTGAATAGTAAACTGAAGCATAGCTCAGTTATTATGGGCCCAAATTAAATGAAATTTTGCATACTGATTGTACATGATGAGACACATTGAAAAACGCTTCTAATTTTGTTGCCAAGGTAACAATGTCGTTCCCAGGCCCCTTGCGCCAATTTTATAAAACAGCTTTATTCATGGTACTTATAAGAATAAAATAATATCAGAAGTATGTGTACCATACCTATGCATGCCAAAAGTTTACTTGCATGATAATAATTCGAAAATGACACACACATAGATAAATGCAACTAGTTATTCAAAATCAGTGTAAGGGGCCTGGGAACAACTGTGTTGCCTTGACAACAAAATTAGAAGTATTTTCCCATGCGTCTCATCATGTACTATCTGTATGCAAAATTTCATTTGATTTGAGCCAATAAGAACTTAGCTATGCTTTAGTTTACAATTCAATATACATACTTACCCAACTACGTCACACGTTGTGCTGACTCAGCAATTTATATTTTGCACATTTTTGCGTATAACTTCAGAACTAGATGAGATAGAATAGAGCATTAACCGGCCAACCAGAATAGAGCATTAACCGGCCAACCAGAATAGAGCATTAACCGGCCAACCAGCTTATTTTTTCATGCTCTTTCAGATGAAGAAATAAAAATTTTGGTTGCCAATGTAATTTAAGATATATTAAGAGAATTTTCCTTATTTCAAGAAAAAATGTCTCGCAAATCAAGTACTTCTCATTTTGAAAATCCGTTTTCTAATTAAGAAAATTAGTTTCTCATTTCAACAAATATTTTCTTGAAGTAAGAATTGTTTTCTCAATAAGAATTTTTTTTTGCTGTGTAGTTACAGATACTGTATAACTATATTGGCAGACAATTGGCATATCTACATATATCTGCAATTTTTATGCAGATATTTTGCAGATATTTTGACAGACAATTGACATATCTGCAAATATCTGCAACTTTTATGCAGATATTTTGCAGATATGTTAACAGATAATCAACATATCTGCAAAATATCTGCAACTTTTATGCAGATATTTTGCAGATATTGTAGACCTTGTTGCAGTTATGCTGCAGTACTGCAACAGATATGTGACAGATACTTGCAGACATTTTACATATATGTCAGTTTGGTAAGGGAACATATAGGTACATTTGCAATCTTAGCTTTTTTAAAAAATTGTTCTTTTAAAACCATCTTTAAATATGTCAACTTTTGGGCAAGTGCTGTTCTTTGAGCATCTGTAACTTTTCTTGAGCACAAAGACTCCATTGCAGCTTCTTGATTGCTAATAGACATTGATGTAAAGTATACAAAATCACAATATGTCCGACAGCATTTGCAGTTTTTGTTGCAAAAATCACAACAATGGTTGAGGGTATTGTGTCACAGGCAGGTTATTCAAGTCATCATCAAAGCTTTCTAACAGCATCTTTCTTCTGCACTTTGATGATTCACGTACAGAACTCTTAATTTCATCGGAACAATGCATCATCATTAAGCTTGAATACAGGATGACAGACTTGCACATTTGCATATTTGTTCTTCCGCTCTCTTGCATGTATGTCTTCAAGTTGTAAGAAGGACCATAGTGAATGACAGTTGTCACATTCTTACAATCAATTCCCATGCCATAAGCAATGGTTGCAATTAAAACTGAACCATCCGGTTTGCCCATGGACTCTTCTAATATATGATCTCTATTCAGTTCATCTATCCTGCTGTGAAACATTTCAACAGTTCTCTTTTTGGGATTCATGGAGTCATCAACATACATGGCATCACCGAGTTCTGATGCGAAAAAGGAATATAAGTAAGTGGTGACCTTGCAAGATCATGGTTAATCACTTGGGCAGCATAACTTATGTTATGCCTGTTTGGCTCTCAAGTATTAACGCTGGGTTCTTCATTTCCAGAGCTTGCATAATTTTCAGCCTGGTTACAGTCATGGCTGTTGCTGTAAGAGCAATCACTGGCACTCGTCCAACAATTGAGCGAATCTCATTTATTCGGCTAAACCATTTTCGAAAAGCCTGCATCTCTCCTTTCTTTGATGCATAACCCCTGAACATTATAAAACAAACAGAAACTAACATAAATAAATTGGCATTAACCCTTCACCGGGCACTATAGCAATATGGTACTTTTTTACTCTATCTAATGTCAGAAACTTTCACTTGACAGACAAAGGAGCCCTAGAAACTGGCCTGGTAAAGGGCCAAAACCTATATTAGTATATAGAATACTGGATAAACAAAATCTATAGGTGCTTGTTACCAAAAATTCAAGATTTTTATCTGAAGTATTCATGCCTATTTATATGAGGATAATATGTTCTCGGTGGTGTAACTTTACTTTTTTGACCACTTGCCCTAAGAACAAGTTGGAGTGTTGGACATGAAAATTAGTTGCCCTGAATAAAATTCACTTGCCATCAGACAATGGCTACTGCATGGGGTACCTAGGTAGCAGGTATAAATTAAGGGGACAACATGTCGACCCATTCTCCTACTGCTCTATATGGCTACCGTAAACCTCCGACTATAAGCCCTGGACTTGCATACTTTTGTAAGAGATTTTTGAAGGGCTTATACAAGGGGGGGGGGGGTTGGCTTATATACGGGTAGGCTTATACATGGACGATCTTTTGTGTTAGTAATAAACAAGTCAGACATAAACAAGTCCAGTCATAAACAGGGAAATAAACGTGTATTAAGCAGCGATTACTGGGCTTATATTAATTGGGGGACTTATATTCTGGGGGCTTATATTCGGGTGGGCTTATATTCAGGGTGGGGGCTTATATTTGGAATGATGTGAGCGTTAGTACATGTGGTGAGCTTATACACGGGGGGCTTATAGTCGGAGGTTTACGGTATGTTATACTGCATCAGATATAACTTTGGCCCACAAAAAACAACATTTTAATGAAGTACATGCATTATGAATACAATTATCAGATAATGAAAATGTAAACTTAAAGATGCCGAACTTTTTGTGGCAAGGCAACTTGCCCAATTGAGCAATCAAGATAAAACGTTTACTTGCCCGTCATGATAATCACTTGCCCCGGCCAAGTGTTAAATTACACCTCTGGTTCTGCCTTATGGGTTACCATTAAAGTCTGGTACTATAGATTGATTATATTTAAAATCTCAACACCTAGCCATGGCATCACAGAAAAGAAAGTTTATTTTATTGTGAGCACCGGCCAGCTCAGTGGTGTAACTTTACTTTTTTGCCCACACATAAAAATTAGATGCCCTGAATAAAATTCACTTGCCATCAAACAATGGTGGGTATAAAAGACATGTCGACCCATTCTCCCACAGCTCTATATGGCTATGTTATACCATCTCAGATCTAGCTTTGGCCAACAAAAAAAAACAAAATTTGAATCAAGTACATGCACTATAAAAAAGCATAAACTTAAAGATGCCCAGCTTTTTGTGGTAAGGCAACTTGCCCAATCGGGCAAGCAAGATAAAACGTTTACTTGCCTGTCATGATATTCACTTGCCCCGGGCAAATGTTAAGTTACAGCTCTGCAGCTTGCATGGATGGGTGACATTGTATGATGTGTCCAGAGGGATTGCAATATTAGAAAGATAGATTGCAAAATAAGACAGTGAAAAAAAAGTCCATAATGAAAGATTTTATCTATACTTAAAAAACTCATTAATAATTCTGGAGGAAAACCAAAGAAAAATCATAAGCGTGTCATATCTTAATATGTGATAAAAAATCATGTTAATTTACATAAACTTTAGCTTTGATTTTCTCGGCTTAGACAAAGTTTATTTTAAAACATTAAAGACCATGTAAAATCTGTTCCTCACATACTTTCTGCGCAAGCCTACATTCCAATGGTCCAGAGTCGACCATTGGAATGTTATTAATACTTTGCACCTTCTCAATGTTCCTGAATTGAATCTCTAGTCTGTATTCATTTACATGTACAAGCATAGTGAACCAGAAGAGTGTTAAAAATTCAGTATAGTATATATATCTAATCATAGTTTACAACTGTAGCGCTGAGTTCAAAATGTAAACAAAGCATTTGTTTACATTAGGCCACATAAAAAAAAATAGTTGGTTAGCGTCCTTAGCTTTTGTCAAAAAGTGGGCGGGCGGGCGCTTTTTTTAAAATTTTTGCTAATTTTTACGGCCTTGGTTTTACTCAATGTTAGGTCCGAAACTGGATTTTCTTGCGCAGTACAGATATTTTTTTATATATTTCAAAATATGATTCATACCGTCATTTTTGCACGCAATTTCGCAAATTATTAACACAATTGACTACAGTCAATAGAAATACTACATATATTAGAGCCTCTTGATCAATAAAAGTTGTTTTCTTTAAATAAAAAAAAAAAAAAATCCTGAGCGGGGCCTTTTTTGTGGGCAGGCGGGGACGCTAACCAACTATTTCTTTTATGTGGCCTTACAGACTTTACATGGCCTTTAAAATTCCACTACCTTCAAATAAACAACAGGAAATCGGTGCATATATAGTTTTAGTTACTAAGATCAGTATGTTACAGTGCTTTCATACACTGATAAATGATAAAAAGATAATACCGGTGGATAAAATTAGCAATGCGTGCGTGTCAATTTCAGTCGGCACATGCGTCAAGACTTTTGGTCTATGTTATAAAGCTAGCATAAATGCTGGCATATTTATAACTTAGTCTCTATATTTGAAAGATAGTGAACAATTTTGTATGTTTTTAACACGAAAAATTTAAGTAAATGCATTAACAAATTATAGCTTATAATTAGTCGAATTAGCGAAAATTGACTATATTCATGACGTGCTTGTCAGGCGAAAAACACACTGCCCAAAGATTTAATTATTTATTCTAGTAGATGTTTCATAATACTCAGTAGCTGCAATAGATTGGATACCTGATACCATTGCACTTTTGAGAAAAAATAATTTACCGCCAGCATACTAACACGAATATTTAATCCGCTGTCTGAAAGACTTTTTTAAAAATACACAATATTTTGTTTGCTTCAAGTGATCAGGATAATTTTTAGTTTAGGTTTATGCCTAGGCAGGAAATAATAAAATATGTAAGTTTCAAGAAGTTAGAATAAAAGCGCGAGATGAACTGTGAGATATAAAAAAGCTCAAATATCACTTGCGTAATTAACGTTTTAACTTGTTTTCGAACGCGTCCGAAAATAATTGCGAAAAAAATTTTAAAACTGACTACAATTTCAAAGTCTACGTTTTTTGTTCATTTTATGAATGACTTCTTCCACACAGAAAGTTTGAAGGAAATCTGTAATCTTAAGAAATTGAGGGGTCGCTTTTTACACGGACTGCCTCTTAATCTTCCTGTCGGACATTTCCTGACACCCAATTTAAGTAATTTTCGAGCGCGATAAATCCAGCATGATACATGTTTTTTTGGAAACTTGTTATATTTTTTGAGTAGAGTAACTCATATCCTCTAGAATGATGCCATAAGTTTTTGGGAACTCTAAATTTGCGCAGTTGAGAACGGGTTGAAGTACAATCACTTGAGCGCTGAAATGACCTTTGACACAGCCGCCGAGCGGTAAACACGCAATATGTAGCTAAAATATTATTTTCTCCGCAGAAATAATGGACAAAACGACAACCAGAGTTTAAATAATTCATAAACAATGCAGTGTGGTCAATAGTAGTATCAATATTTGAAGAAAATGTACATTATATGAGTTCTTACCTAGGTATGAGGCCTGAGACTTTGTAACAAATGATCAATTACTGTGAGACAGTTCAACATTCTTCAGAATATTTTGGTTATTTCCTTGCCTACATCATTCGATACAGTCAGTCACATGTTAGGTTGTTGTATAATTACCAATCGACCACTATCTTGCTGTTAATAGGAATTAAGAAGAGAATTGTGCGATTTGTGAAACACAGTGTTTGGCAAAATAGTGTAAACAACAAGGACATGATTACTTGCACAGGTTACCCGAACTGGTCAACCCTTTGTGGGCTGCGCACCAAAGTAGATTAGGGCTGTTTTCCCCTTCAACCATATCATAGCGGAACGTATCGCAGTGTGTCTACCTTCAGTCTGATTGTGAACATTTGCACAAAAATAAACTAGCACATTCAACTGGTTGATGTTAGTACAAAGAAATGTTCTTATAAAATGGCTTAGTAAAATGATCTATTTTTGACAACTACAATGTTGGATTGCTTCTGACAACAAGGCTATGTACGGTGGCTTACGGCATGTGGTTATGTTGCCAGTGTCTATGTCCATACTTGCACAAAAGTCCTGAAGAAGCTTGATGCTTAGCTCGCTGAGTTTGTCGCAGGACATTTTGCACAGGTTGTACTGGTGATAGGTCACTGGATGCTGTATGCCGAGATCCTGGACCAAGAGATTCCTTGTCGTACTGTAGTTTGTCTCCTCCTCAGCTGCTGCCTCGTCATCACTATCTGGCTTGTAACCATGTCACAATTTGGCTGCCCGTCTGGAGAAATAGCCCCGGATCTGAGTTTCAGTTAGAAACTCTTCCGCTTCGAACATCCTTGTTCTGTCTTTCTTCTTAACATAGCGCATTTCTTTGGCATCAGCAGCGGCATCTAGTTTCTGGCCGGTCTCCTGACCGATTACGACTTTGCCATCCAAGCAGGATCGTTGAAATTCGTTGAAACACTTCGATGTCCTCGTGCTCTTTAGTGCGCAGCCTTTAGTCAATGGATCCTTTGATGGTTGTCATTCCTTGGTCTCCTCCACCAGTGTTGTGCTGCTGGTGCCTTCAATGAGCTTGTGGTGATAGAGCTTTTTTGCCCGGTCCATGAGAGTGGCATTCTCTCCTCTGAGGTCACAGGTGCCAAATTGCAAGTGATTCTCTAAGGCAGCGTTAGTCTGGTAGACCTTCACGCATCCTTCGTTGCTGCACTGGAACAGGCCATCCACCATATGCTCTTTGTGTTGTGAAGGGCCACAGGGTCTTAGCTAGGATTTTAGATCTTGGGCGTGTTTCTAATGACCAGGGTGTGCACATGTCAATTACCTTGAATAACCAAATTCACGGTTCTAGTTACGCTCGCCAATAACAGACAATGCCTGTGGTTGTTCTATGCTTTGCAACCAAATACAAGGCGAGCATACGCTCATATTGCGCAGTGACATTAAAATATTAAGTTATTTTAGCAACTCTTGGGGGTATTTAAAACCATTTTAACACCATACAGTTCCTATTATCCATCAAAACATTAAAACATCACGGATCACTTTTGCCAATTTCAACAACAACAGTAGATTTTACAAGCTTTCTTACGACGTAAATTGGAAGAAATTCTGTCTGTTGTAAGTACTGTTGCACCTTATTTTATGAACCTACACGCGGCCTTATATAAATAATGAAGCCGCGTTCATTTTATCTAGCCGTGTTTTTCCACTTTTGGCCGCGATAACACGGCCAACACGGCCCTCTAGCTAAGACCCTGAAGGGCCACTGCATACAGTCTCCTTGCGATGCTTCTTGGCTGAACTATGCACAAAACCACCAGGTGTAAATGGAGCATCAAATGTATCCTGAAGTGGCTGAGCTATAATGGCAAAACAAACGAAATACACAGAGTTAACAGACATGCAATACTGGGCTATTATTCAAACAAAACAGCCCTCCCCCCAAAAGTTCCATTGATGTACTTGAAACTTTTTTGTCATTGTATTAACTGAACATTGGTAATGTTGCAAGGATAAAACTGAGACATTTTTGAAATTGTTTGTTTGAGAAGCCGGTCGCTAGTAACTTCTAATTTTGGAGCACATACTAACCCCATGTGTCGCATTGTTGCATTATCCTGCCGATTCCTACACCATAGGCTTCCCACACGGTAATTTTTCTGTCGGTGTACTCAAAATTGTTCTGGCGGCTGATGCCATCCCATTCTACATGTGGGTCACAAAGACCATGGCAATCCTGACGCCTAATGCACCCTGCGTTGTCCTGTCGCAGGTATGCATTGGTAATCATGGCGCTGTCTTCGTGGAGTGTGTGCAACACATGCTCAGTGATCCTGACCACAACGGAAGCATCTTGACTGCAGTTCTCCACTATATGCACAAATGTTTGTGTCTCCATAACATTCTCGACCTTTCTCACAACTACGCTGATGTGCCAGGAGATCCCTCGTTTTGCAAACCAGTCCCACTGTGATTCCCTGTACTTCTGAGGTAGAAATGATTGTACTTGATTGCCCAGTCATTTGTTATAAGCACCGATGACTGATCAAGCCGCCTCAGAACGTCTAGTCGAGACTCATCTTGTGTGATGCTTCGAAGTTGGTGCCCTTTCCATGACTTTGGCATCTTGTGTAGCCCACATGCTACTAGTTCATCCTCTGCGATGGCAATGGGATCATTATTGAAGACATCTCCAATATCGGCCAGCACATTGTTGAGGGCTTCACACTGTGGACACACGTCATTGTGTGTATGGTCGCAAGTGCTACTGAAACATTTGTCTTTTGCTTCATCACTCAGAGAAAATGTGCTGCAGTGCTCAGCTACAGTGCTCGATCTCGACACATGAACCTGCAAATAGTTATTAGTTTTGCTATATTAATTATAAGACAATTACAAATCAAGATGGATTACCACTGTTCTGGTGCACTTTACCTTGTAGTCGGACTTCAAATAATGTTTACCCGATTTCAGTAAACTTTGCGATTCATCTTTGGACTCCCTGGAGACTGATCCACACTTTTGAAGGCGTGGCACAGCAGCACACAGGTCATCAAAGGCTTTGCTTCCGTTGGCAGTGATGTAGTCAAGTCCCTGTAAAGACTTGCACACAGTTGCAGAACATTCGGACAGGATGTTCAACATGGTGGTTCAGCCAAATGGAGTGAACGCTGTCTCACAATAATGCTGGTATTGCTGAACAATACGCTCAGGGATCATACTTCTGATGACGTTTGGCGTTTCAAGGATCTCTCCAGTGGAAAGTTTCAGGTACTTCTGTGCAAAAGGCAGTTCTTGTACGATATGTCAGCTGGTGATGAATGTGAGGAAGTGGTCTAGCTGGCTGTTATCCACTTTCATTCGTGCTCTTTTGCTAGGTGGTCGGGGAACGCCTCTACTGAACATCAGCCTGTGACTTTGTGCAATCTTGACACGGTATTCAGTGACATTGGGCAAATACTGCTGTAGATTTGCAAATGGTACAATGTCAGCCATCACAGAAAGAATTTGTCTTTGTGTGTCCCATCCAGAGGCATTTATGTATGTTTCTGCGAGTGCTAGTAGATACTTTCCTCTGCGGAAGATTTTTTTGTATCCCCAGAGCCTCCTCCACAAGTGCCGATGACTGCAGCGCTTCCCAGAGAAGTGCCCCATCACCTGGTGTCACCACATCTTACATTGCCACTATTGCATCCCACGCCTTCCCGACATGGTTCCTCCTCGTTCGCGCGCTGGTCTCCGACCACGTTTTTTTTGCATGGACCAATCCATGATGTCACACCACAGTTTTCTAGAAAACAGTTTAAGTGTGTTCTTCTATATGTCAGGGTTTCTTCTACTGTTTCATCACTTGATGTTGTACTGCAGCTTATCAGCTCTTCTGGAACAAACATACTAGCACTGTGATCTCTTTCCTCAATGGATAAGTTGAGAAATGAATCGCACAAATCTAATACATCCTGTGGACATTCTTGTATTGAAGAAAAAGGACTAATATTATTGATTAGCACATTGACTAGTGCATGAATACCACTTTGCCTATTCCATGTTGTGTCGTTCCACAAAGTGTTTGGTGCATCTAGTGGCGTTTAGTAGGTAATATTCGTATATTGTACCTGTTGCTCTTGGATGTCTTCGCATTCTGACATTAACGGGCAATCTTGACTCTCTTGGGCAATCTTGACTCTCTTGGACATCACCTTCACACACGACAGGTGTTTTGACTCCCATGGACTGCTCTTTTGCTCTCAGGCATTTGCGACATCTTGTACAAATACCTTAGCAAAACGAAGAAAAATGTTAACTAGAAAAAACTCATGACATTTTTTTCGATTCCGATTGCATGTCCTTGCTTACCGGATCCTACTGGAACAAGCACATAAGTAAGGTTCTGTAGCTTCTCTGATTGTTCCTTCGTTATTGGCCGTTCTGCTTTAGCACTCCCGTGTACTGCCCAGCTTGCGGGACAGACACAATTTCTGCAGTTGCACTGCCAGCGAATTCCATGGCTATCAGGATGCCAAGGACAAATAGTAATGTTGCCATGATTTTCTTCAGGACCAAAGAGACCTACATGTATACAAGGACATGTGACATATGCATTGTGGTTGCTCTCTATCTCAGCCAGGGTCACAATTCAATTGACAAGCATTGTATATGAAAATACAGTCCAGTATATTCTGTAATTCTGTTGATAGCCAACACATGATAGGGTATAATCTAAACATACCTGCACGTGTGAGTAATAGCTGGCCTCAGAAGTGATTGATGGGTCTCCAACTTTCAAGAACCTCAAATAATCCTGTATATCCTTACTACAGTCAGCAATTCTGAGACGTTGCCTTGTATGTGAGCTCTGCTGACTCCCACCGCAAGGCCCGGCAACGTACCTGGCGTAGCCACATTCCATGGCATTCACGTGCGCGCATTCAAATGCTGATATGGAGTTAAAAAATGTCTGCTCCAAAAAACTGTACAAACGAAACTCGATTGTGTGCACCCTATATAGACTTTCTAAAGTCTAATGCTAATAAGAAAGATGACGTCATAAAAATCAAGATACCGTCCGGAAAAGCACAAGCATCCAAACGAGGAATACTTAAGCCGAGTGGTGGCATTCTTGAATGTCATGGCCGAATACAAGGAGACTTCCCAACCTACCTCCCAGACAATGACATGTACACCGAGAAACTAGTGGAACATGCTCACAATGTGACCCTCCATGGGGGAGTGGGTCTGACTATGGCTAAGGTACGAGAGAGCCACTGGATTCCATGACTGAGGAGACTTACTAGAAGAGTTATCAAAAACTGTTTCGGATGTAGACTGTTCCATGCAACACATTTTCCAAACCCACGACCTGGGAAATTACCGAAAGATCGGACTGAGGGTGATTTGCCTTTCCAAGTCGTAGGGGTCGACTACGCGGGTCCAATTAGGTACCAGAAATGGGGAAAGCAAGAAGGCAAGGCCTATATAATCATATGTGCGTGTTTTTTGACCTGTGCGATGTATCGAGTTAACAAAGACCACGAGTACAGAAGAATTCCTTTCAACATTCAAACGATTCGTCGCGAGGAAAGGGCGCCCATTGAAAGTGTATTCCGATAATGCAAAGACATTTGTTGCCGGGGCGAAGTAGATAAAGCAAGTTATGAAGGACGAAAAGTTTAATGATTTCCTGGCTAAGATGTCGATCAAGTGGTAATTCAACATTGGAGCTCCTTGGTGGGGTAGACAGTACGAGCGGTTGATTGGACTTGTAAAACAAGCTATGTACAAGTCCATTGGTAACAGCTTTCTCTCCTGGACGCAGTTGGAAGATGTCATCCTGGACGTGGAAGTGACTTTAAACAACTGACCTCTCAGCTACATAGAAGACGTCCAACTGCCCTTACTTACACCGAATACGTTGCAATTCGGCCAACCAAACATATTACCAGAACAACCAGAGCATCAAATCGAGAATCCCGATCTCCGCAAGAGGGCAAAGTATATCCGGCGATGTAAGGACGTGTTGTGGAAAAGATGGTCTTCTGAATATCTGAAGGCTCTCCAAGAGCGGCATAACATGAAACATCACAGTAAAGTTATAAGTACAAAGATTGGAGATGTCATTATCGTGAAAGGCGAGGAAAAGAATCGGGGAAAGTGGAAAATCAGAGTTGTAGAACGACTCGTAGTGGGTAAAGACGGTATTGTATGGGGAGCGAAACTACGAGTAGGACAGAACGCATTAGAACGTGCAGTTCAACACCTATACCCTATGGAACTGTCCTGTGACGTAGCTGTAAAGACGCCAGAGTTGAGACCAAGTGAAACAGAACTGACAGCTGATGTACCCGAGTTCAGACCAAAGAGAAATGCTGCAGCGATAGCAGAATGTCAAATTCAGGACAAAGCAGGTGACGAACAGAATTAGAACGTTAATTATATATACATATTCAGCCATATAGAGAACAATATATCTTGAGTAATACAATATAGTTTAAGTTTTGTAGGTTACGAACAGTCAAATTTACACATAAAAATCAAGCAATCATTATGGACGGTGAACGAAAACACAATTCATTCATATTCGTTTTACAGAAAACGAATAGGGGGAGTGTGTTGAGAATTGTGGTAATATTAGTTAATTAGGATAATATATATTTAGTTATTAAGAACTGTCAATCAAATAATGCATGCGTCATAAGTTAATTAAGTAGAGTATCAAATTTATAAATTGTGATTAAGTAATAGCGTAACTGTTGAGACTGTGAATTTAGAGCTAGTGATTTTGTGATTTGTAAAGTGATTTAGAGAGAAAAACCCAAACTATTGTGACTATGTTGACTTAACATTTAGCCTCTAACGGCATTCCCAACATGATCAAATACATTTGATCAAAAGCTATGTTCAAATGCATTTGTCACAATAAGTGTGTCATCTACACAAGCAAAATATCTTTAACATATGAAATTTGGCAAATACAATTTGCTTGTGTAAGGGGGCTTTAGGGTATTATTAATCTATTAGGTTTTAGCCTATACTAACTGTACAACCAGCCTGCTGGAGCAGTTATTATAATAATACAGACAATTATAACTAACACCAACAGTATTGTACAGTATTACTGGTGGAAATCGTACACAAAATCTTAATCAAAATCACAATGATCCTAATCAAGGCCTTGAAAGGATCCTATAGGATCTTAATTATAAAATCCTATCTAGATTTTGTTCATGATTACCACAAGGGAAACATTAGATTGTTGGTGGTATTTATAGTGGTGCAGTAACTGCTCTACCAATCCACCATGGCTTACAAAATATAAACGATTTTTTCAGCAATTTCAACCAGAAAAAGGTTTAAAATAGACACTTATATGTAAATTGTGGTTAAAGACCATTTGAAAATTAGAACTTCAGCCTACTTTCTAACCTTGCAATTTCAAGCCTAAGGCTATGTTTACAATGTATTGTAGGGTACATCTGATATCTTCAGTCTCTTTCAAGTTTGGCTTCAAATCATGATTTCATACAGCCTCACACTACAGGGATACATCAAGTCAAATCCAATCGTGGCCATGCCCTGGCAAAGTTGGGCAAACCCCTGGGATTTTGACAATTCTCGAAAATATGTGACAGTTTACCGGTGGCGGGGATAAAACATGTGAAAATGACCCACAGCAGGGCAAAAAATCAGTAGCAAATGGCCCATGGTTGCCATGGGGGGTCGCATGGGCAAGCTTGGATTTGACTGTTGCATAACTGATGCTAAAAAACTATTTGGCTGATACAGTGCAAACATAACCTAAGGGTCATAATACTAATGGGTCGTTCCTGAAAAGATCCATACTCCCTGCATGGAGGAAATTTCTGCCATTCGGAGGAGGAGGGGAGAAAAAATTGTTTCTGATAATAGTAAATGTATTAGGACATCCGAAGGGGATTGGGGGGTAAAAACATCCTATTTCCTCCATGGGAGTGTTATGGATGTTTTCTGGAATGACCCAATTAAAGTCACAGTTCAGCCTTTTGAATGATGGTTTTTAAGGTGCATTTCAGCCCTTTTAATTGAAAAACTAACTAGGGAAATCAATTATGCATAATTCACGTTCAGTAAACACAATGTTTTTAACACTAAAAAGTTTCAAAATGTTCCAAAAAATCAAGTTTGCTGATCTCGAGTTATGCTTAATTGATTTTCCTAGTAGTTTTTTCAAGTAAAAAGGCTGAAATGCACCTTAAAAACCAACATTCAAAAAGCTGAACTGTGCCCTTTAAAAAGTCAAATATGCCTGGACCACATATTACTGACAAAAATACTTCTAACATTGTTCCTTCTTGGAAGATTAGCCATTGACTCTTGCAAGTCATCCTTTTTCAAATCCAATTTTGTTAACATTAGTGTCCTTTTTACATAGCAATTTAGCATCAGAATAACTTATGCAACTATTTACATTATAACCATAGACATAAGCAGTCATATTATTAGACCCACGACATGCCTGTCTTTGCACTGAGAAAAATTATTCGACAATGTCCTGGTTCAGCCTTTTCGGTATAACATAATGACTTCCATGGAGACGTCTGAATCCATAACTATTTATATAATGTACCAAGCCAATCAATCCATTGATTGAAATCTAGAGAATTTAAGGTAAAAAGGAAATGGTGAGAATGTAATCAAATGGGTGTGATAGACTTATGACATTGTATACACTTTTATTGCATACAATGTCAGCACTGATATGCTGAATCAGTTAGTGAAGTATATCATGGCTGAGCTTTTATATGGCTGGGGGTTATAGGTTTTTTGCCAATTACTTTATGTGTAAGTCATAGAATGTTTTCCAAGAGATAAACCAAGATGATTGCTCAGTTTTTAATGTAAATTGTTTGGCAAGTTAATTTTTCCACTTCCTAAAGAAGTCTAGAACATCCTCTATTTTCCCAAGTCTCACATCTGTCTCTGATGAAAGGGGTGTGGTATCATTAAAGACATTCCATAATGTCTCACAGTTACATATAAATTTCTGAGTGGATGATGTTATATCTGCCTCGTATTTCTCCATGTCCTCCTGCACTTTTGAGTTCAATACTTGAACTGCAAGTTTAACTTGCATTTTACTCAGACTGTCTAGGTGTACATGTGAGCTTCTTAAGTCTGTACTAAACAAGTGTCGTTGTTTGTCTCTCAAATAGACCGAGTAAACGTGATCCCAGATTATGTCCTTCGAATCTAGTGACAAGCACCTGGTATATCTTGGACACATATCTTTATGACCACTGTTATACAAGTTGTTTCGTAGTTTTTTCACAAGATGAGGTGGATCAGAAAGAAAAAAGAGTGGACTGTTTGAAAATGGATTGTGTGTCTTGCTAACAGTCTCTGTACACACATTTATATCCATAAATGTTCTGTTTTCAGGAGCACCATCGCAGATGCTAACAATCACTTCAAAATCATGGGCATGTAGCAATCCCACTCCTTCCCAAAATATTCGATTTAATTGGGTTGCAGTAATTCCTCTGGTTAAAAAATAACCGCATGGATAGTTAAATGATGAAAAGACACTTTTGAAGTAAAACTGGAGGGCATGCGAGGCAAGTTTCTCTGTTGTAGTCAGTTTACCAGTTGGAGAGGCATCGTCACATTCCAAGTCAACAAACCCAATAAGTTCCCAAGAAGATGGGTCAAACAATAGGCCTTTTTTTATTTTCACCTCGTCAAAAATGAGGGTCCCCAACTTTCCAACATTTGGCACTTTCTGCTGCTCACAGCTCGATTGCATTCCCTGGAAAACAAATGTTTGCCACCCAGATTTTGATGAGCAGAAATTCTTATAATCCGACAGGGTTCTTCCACTAGGAAGTCTTAAAAATCCTGAATCGTTCAGAATATGTTGAATGCGATTTGCAATATATATGGAGACACCATGCACTTTAAAACTAAGGGATGCCAACACATTTGCCTGGATGGCATATTGAGTGCCTTAGCTTGATCTTTGAGTAACAACAGGAAAAAATAATCTGATTCACTACCAGTATGACCAACAATATGGGATTCCAGCTGTTTTTTCTTTAAAAAGGTTTTGTCACAACCCAGCCATTTGCAAACATATTGTTTGTTTATAGGGGCAACATCAACCTGTGGTGGTACATGCTGTTTTATATGGCAAAAAAGTTGTTCAGTTGACACAAATTCTCCTCCGGTCTCACAATTTTGCCAACAGCAAACAATATTAGTGTGTTTGTCCGAAATCTTTTTAAAGCCACTATACAGCTTTGTAAACAATTCCTTAAATTCTGAATCTGCATTAGAACCAACTGTTGTCATACTTTCCTGGTGTTCTTGAAGCCTTCCCAAACTAACTTGCAACCCATGCAATGTCTCTGCTGTACGTCTACTGTGCTCAACTAGTTGATCTTTGGTCATGTAATCATAACGTGTAAATTTTGATTCAGTATCATTATTGGAAACATTCTGGTTTCGAGATTTCAATGTTCACATGTAATGATCAGTTCGAAAGCAAGATTCGCATCGCAAACATGTACTACCAATAGGGAGGAAAAGGGAACAGTTAGAAGATCTGATAAGTTTTTTTTATCAAAATTGTATGAAATAGGTTCAACAAATGCAGCAGGTTGGCCATCATTGCTCTTAATAACAGGTGCATCACTATCTATGGGTAGGTCATGATATTTTTCTATAGAAACTCCAGGACATAGAGAGTGTTTCTCCAGTGTTTGCATAAATGATTACAAGTCCTTCTGAGTGTGAATTGATTTTGGCAATGAAGTAATACAAGTTGTTCTGGACTTTCCCCCAATGATGAACTTATATTCACCAACAGCTGACACAATGACTTTGTATGCTGGGTGGACAGGACTGTTCAACATGTAGTACAAATGTACTGTACAATCACTAATATCTGCATTAATATGCCAATTAGGAAATTGTTGGGATATGAGATTGGCATCCTTGTCAACTTTCCAAGCAAAAGAACTACCTGTAGACTGCTCATTTTCTTTTAAAACAGAAAGACATTCCAACTCAAAACAACCACGGACACTTTGATAACTGGCTTTAATAATAATAATAACAATAACAATAATAATAATAATAATAATGAATTTATTGCAGCATATCCATAGAAAATATGGCTCTTCATCTACAATATCTACAGTACAAATTAGGCATAAAAAATACAAAATCATATATATATGTAGATTATTTATACAAAATGCAGATTAAAATCTGTGATTAAAGTATTGTTTTGTAATTTAATCCCTAATAACGTTACAGAATAAATTATAGTCACATATGTTCCTATATATCCCCAATATATCATGTTCCTTTAATTCAAGTAGGTCAGTTAGAGCAGATCTGTGAGTTCTAATAACGCTCTGTATATTTTTAGAATAAAATTTCCATCTAAGTAGCTCTTTGTATTTGCCCAAACCTTTCGTTAAATTGTTGGTCGATCGGTAGATATAATTTTGCAAGCCAATGCCACTAAAGTTAATCCCATAAACGTAGTATACTGCTTTAGATATATATATACAAATTTCTCAGGGGAGCCTTTTGCAAAATTGAAATCGTCACTGGAAGACATCTTGATTAAGGCATACAGGAGAAGTTCCTCTGGCTGAAGCAACATTTTTTCACAGTAAGACACCGGTGATGAAGGAATTTTAACCGTGTTCTTTCCAAACTCTGCCACAGGTTGCACTCTATCGTTTTCTGTGCATTGTTCACTCGATGATGAAGTGTTTTGACAAGTTGAAACATGATCCTCTGAACATTTAGCTCGTTTATGAGTAAAAGAATGAGGGGCTAGACCCGAATCAGCCGGTCTTTTAAAATTTATATCACACATTTTTGGATAAAATAAATTGATTTTGAAGTTTTTGTTTTAAAATTAAAGATTTTCCAAATTTTCGACTCGCTTACGACATTTTCACTGCAAGACTTTTGAAAGTGCGAAGCAAATGTATGATCAGCTTTTGCTCAATGTTCAATAGAAAAAACATCAACCTTCGATCGAGTACCCCAGATTACAAGTTAGATAGAGGCCAAGAATCAATCTCAAACTATTTTATTTCAATGAATATCGAACATAATACTTCTCGCCTAGCATCCGAAGAAGAACTACGGTGTTGGCAGAATTTTACCTATAAAGCGCCCAGCATATTCTCAAATAACTAGGTTCGTGCTGTACGGAACTATGTGATAAATATGCTCTGAAAACATATCAATCATGCTTCAATACTTATGAAACTTTAGGAATACATCGACAGAACTAATGCAAATAACAGCTGGTCAAAATACTTCGTATTGTTTACAACATTCAAAAAATATGACCAGCAAAAGTGGGAAAAACAGGGCCTGCAAAAGGGTCTTATTTCAGCCATGATATCTTCTAAGAATCAACTTCGATTTTTATGAAAGATTCAAATATGAACACATAAAATAATGAACTCTAACATACCTTAGTTCATAAGTGTTGGCAGTAGATTCACACAAGATATCCTCATTTGAAATTTAGTCTCCATGGAAGTCATAAAAAGGCACAGACATTATCGACCATAAATTCTCTTGTACAAGCTATTTTACCATTACAGCACACAGACCCTTTAACCAAAGAAATACTTTAACTATTTTGCCATTTAAATTATTCTCACACCAAAAAGATTGAGAGAAATGGCCATACAAACTGAACAACTAAAAATCGCGGTTTTCTTCAATTTCCTTCAAAATCGTACTCGCCCCAGTTTTTTTCTGCATCACACATCGACCAGAATGCGCACGCTCATTGCACCGCCCTATATATAAGCGCCCTGGTTGATACATTAACTTTCAGCCCTTACTTAGGTCAGTTATTTCGTTTCCACAATCGGTGCTGTTTCATTCGAGGACAAAGAAATATCAATTCTTGGCCATATCTGAAATCATCACAGTGAATGATGTGACCAATATTGCATCCCTGATGAGTGTGACTGCAGGGCAGATCATCACCCTCAAAACTGAAGTAATACATGTTGCATCTGTAAAAAATATCAGTCAACTGCAGAAACAGGAGATAATCCTAAGAGATCCGACAGGAACCATCAAACTTGTGCTGTGGGAACAATATGTCAATGCTCTTGTTGTGAATACAACATATGTGCTACAAAACCTGAAATTGAAAGTCTACAATGATGAAAGATACCTCAAAATGCCAAAGGATGAAGAATTTAAACCTAAAGAAATTGAGCCATTTCAACAACCATTACCAGAACCTGTCATCGATCCACATTCGATTTATGGGAAAATAGTTGCCATTAAAGATGTAACCACCCTTGGACAATGTCATTGGTGCAATCGTACACAAATCCTAAACTTGTGTGATCTTAATTAGTCCCTGTGCTTTCCTGTCAAGGCTTCAGATGAGACAAAACGAAACATCATGCTTTATCACCAACAAATGCTTCAACTTCTCATTGTTTTGGATATACAGCTTGACCTCAATTCTGTATCTGTTGAAGAACTTATCATCTGAATATTACAAGAGGACACAAAAGTGCAAATCTATATGCTTCCGTCTAAAGTACTCACATGGTCTTCTGAAACTCTTGCTCCGTCCATTACCAAACTTTACAATAATCATATTGAGCAAAGTATGTGGCCCACAAAGTCGAAAAAGGAGAATGGATTCCAGTATTTAAAAGAGATAACGGACAAGAATGCACAAACTATAGACCAAGCACTGTGCTACCAGTGATAGGTAAAGTGTTTGAGTCCCTTCTCAGCAAACAAATGACAGAAAGTTATAACCCCCATCTATACAGTAAATTGATCGCTTACAGAAAGACACATAGTTGCAAAACAACACTGATTGGCTTAACTGAAGAACGGTGACAAGCTGCAGATAGGAAGGAAAATGTCGCTGTACTCTCCACCGACATGAGTAAGGCCTTTGACTCCTTACACCCATCCCTGATGATAAAAACTTGAAGCATATGGATTTTGTCAAGCTTGTGAACTTGAACAAATTTCTAGATTGTGTTCTTCTAAATTTTTTCTGTTCAGTTTATACAGTTTGCTACCTTTTGAAGTATAACTGACAGTTGACAAATGCCAAACAGTCAAAAAAATTTGCAACTGAAAGTACATCTATTAAGGTAGCTGTAATTGAAGCCATATTTACATGTGATAATTTGCTCAACTTCAAACATCATTATCTTTTTGGCATGCCATCCAAAATCGTCCAATTTTGGCATTTCTTCTTAGATTTTGCACTCAGCATGCTTTTTTAAGTGTCTTTGCCAATTGAGAAATATATTGAAAGCTAAAAAATTGAAACTTTTAGTTCAGCTAGTCACATTGAGTTTTGAGCATGTACAGTACTGCTCAGAAATAACCTAACACTGTGTTTGTGTTCCGAACACGTTCCAAACACGTTCCGAACGCGTTCCAGAGGAAACTTGGAAACGTGTTCCCCACTTTGGCTAAAAACTGTGTTCTCACATCAGAAAATCCTGACACCGAATGAAACATGAGCTACTGTAGGTTTTGACAGTTGACAACTATGAACAATTAATATCAAGCTTCATCCCGGGCTGAAATACCAGCCCGGTTTGATCCAGACTGAAACTCGACACAGTCCGGGCTGTGATCACAAATAATTTGAAAAGTCGTCTTAACAGCTTTTTTCAGCGTGTTTGTTTCAACTGTATATGTAACCCTAAACACACAAATCAAACAGCCGAAAATGCTTCAAATCGCGATCGTGTCAACCTGAGCTGGAAAGGTCTGTGTTGTGCACATGCTACATTTCAGCAATTTAACAACATTGGATGAAAATAGTTCCGACTAAAACTCAGCCGGCTCAAACTGCTCACAGGCAATCAAATAGATCGCTATCAAACCTGCTGTTTTAAAATGTCGCCGCTTGTGTAATCTTTTTTATGCATAACTAAGTCATTACATATGATTATAAAGTATAAACATTTACAATTAGTCAAAATACTAGTGACTGTGACATTTTTGACTGCCCAACATCTCAGGTTGATTCTATAATAAGTGCATGCTTGCAATATACATTTACTAACAATCGTACCAACTTATATGATGATGATTCCTTACTGTCGCACGTGAATACATGCATATCAGCAATAAACATCGCTTGCATACTATTTTTGCATGAGTTAAGATTGAAATTATGTGTATTTCTAGTCTACAGGATGGCTAAAATAAACTGGATGACCTCCTTACCTTGTGCTTTTTCCGGTATTAGTTTATCCATTTAAAACTCCTCCTGTGAGAGTCTGATGATGATTTTATAAAGTCCAAACACTGTGATATTTTGGCTACCTCTTTTGGAAATGAAATTCAATAGCCTAGTGAACACACACGTGAGTGAATAACTTTTGACAATAATTTCCATAATTTTAGACAATACTGTTAAAGTCCTTAAAATTCCTTCAAAACTGTTTTTATTTATTTTGATGCCCTTTAGAGTTTGGTGAAAAGTGCGAGCATTTTCTACATGGTCATCAGAAACCTGATGGCGAATAGAGGAAATTAGCTAGATTGTGTTTTAGTTTGTCCCGGAGTATTGACCACACACATGCATGTATGTGATGTGTACATCATAGGTTATTTTGATTCGCGACTCGTTAGTGGAAAGCAAATATAAAAACGCGGTTTTATGCTTGATAGTGTGAACAAAAAATGTGCAAGTGAGGCTGACTAATAGTTGGGAAATCGCGATGATTTCCGTTCTGCAGATGCGTTCCGGTAACAGTGGAAGGCGAATGGAATGCATTTAGGAACGCATTCCGGACGCGTTCCGAACGCGTTTTCTGTTAGGTTATTTCTGAGCAGTACTGTATTATGCGAGTTTTACTAAGGTTAACACACGCTGGCTTAGTTTCTCAAAGCGCCGAGCAATAATACTCCTATTATATATTCATAGACAATCGCAACCCGGAAAACAATGCCCCTGCATTTGTTGTTAGTACAAGCATGCAGTTATGAAGCCACGACTGAGCACAAATGAAATGGCATACTAGACAACATAATTTAGATAATTTATTTTTTGTTTATCAAGTCCAAATCTTGCAGGTTTTGAATGTTTAACGATTTGCACAAGATCGGAACTCGGTCACACAATTCCTGGTCCCGATTTTGATGAAGCAAGTGCCAAAATGTTTTAAATGATGAATTCTTACCTTGATCTCCCTCCATCTTCATCCTTATCTCCATACTCAATTCACTGAGTGTTCCAAATCATTCTGGATTATGAAGCGTCTGTGGCAACCACAGAGTCTTTTTAATCCCTTTTTTTCATTTATTTTTCATACTCACATCCCAAGAGAGGCCATGGAATCATCCATCTGTAAAAGAAAAATGTGGTTGATGTGTTATTTTTGTTTTTAAAACAAATAAATGATAAGTTCATCAAGCTAAGTAAAACAAAACAGCAAATGCTGGAACATTTGTGTGTTGGTCGGTTTTGTTTGTTTGTACAGTTCTTGATTAAAATAACATGAAACATTGGTGCTGTTCAAGAAAAATAAAAGAGAACATGTTTACCAAAAATCTAAAATATTTCAAGTGTAGTGGGCTTAAGTCCACAAAAAAGTGGTCGTTTTCAAGACTCTCCTGCACCCATCTCATCGAAGCTTCGAAGTCCGTCAATCTTAGGTTTGCTTGGCAATCGCAGGCACATTTAGATGCCAGCCCCTGCATCATATGACGATCATCTCCATTTCGGCCCGGTCCCCGTTTTCCGGCATGGTAATTTTCCAAAACCACATGACAAATTTCGGCCTGTGCCATGTGAGCAAAATGAGGAAGTTTGCAACATTTTGTACCTCTGTAGTTTTGTGAGCAGATTGTTGATGTTTCGATAAAAATATTATTTTTCATGTCTGGGTAAAATGTTTTCTGAAACTGGAAAACCGTTAATAAATAATTATGTGTAGTATACATCAACATACATCAAGTAATTACCTTTGTCACTGTATGAGCATTTAGAGCAGTTAAACACGTCATCCTTACAGTAAACCTTTGTACAGCCATTCTCAGTAATGTGGACACCGCTTGACTACAACTCTACAACATAACCACAAGTCTGGACAAGGTTTTTCATACACAGAACCTTTGTCATATTTTTGGACAAGATCAAATTCTAAACATAAAGCCCAATTTTTAAAGTGCTTATGCAACGAAATTTTCACCTCATTGTTTATTGCTTTTCTAAAAAGTACTGCTGGAGTGATGAAGAATGACGTTTACAGTTTCGTCATATCTCATTCTCAAGTTATCGCACTTTCTATATTTTGAGTTGTGACGTCACAAGTATGAGTTGAGATAATGGCAATAACAAGAAAGTATGATATCTTGGTGAGTATTTATTAAAATTTAATGAAACTTGGTACACTTAGTGGGTGCAACAAAGTCAACAATTTGGCTTGTTTGTGTGGTTGTTATGGCAACACACTCGTCTCCAGTCCCTTCTCTTCCAATTTCTATATGATCCATTTTCAACGAAATAAATAGCAATTTCTACAATTTTCGCTCATTACTATAATACGTGTAGGTATTGTTATCAGTTTATACTGTTATAATATGTAAATATCCTCTGCAAGAGGTCTACGGGAGGAAAGTTGTGAAAGGAAGAGAAGAGACTGGGGACTAGTGTGTTGCCATGACAACCACATGACCTACCAAAAATATTCATATGAGTGCACCCACTAAGTGTACCAAGTTTCATTGAATTTTATTAAATACTCACCAAGATATCATACTTTCTTGTTATTGCCATTATCTCAACTCATACTTGTGACGTCACAACTCAAAATATAGAAAGTGTGATAACTTGAGAATGAGTTGAGATATGACGAAACTGTAAACGGCATTCTTCATCACTCCAGCAGTACTTTTTAGAAAAACAATAAAAAATGAGGTGAAAAATTCGTTGCATAGGCACTTTAAACATTAAAAAATATCGATGAACATTAATCAAGTTTCACTTTACATGGGGCATCATGCATGTGCATATATCCATAGAAGCATCACTTTCATTGCCTGTTTCGTTTACCGTATCAGACGCATCGATCACGCTCACAAAAGCTAAATGTTTTAATTTTTCCTTTTTTTCAGTTTGCAAGCAATTTGTATTCTTCTCATTTTGCCATTTTTGTCTCAACTGGGGTTATTACCCAATTCAAACATCACCTCCATAACTTTGGACCGGGCTGGCCTATCTTGATGAAGCAAGTGCCAAAATCTTTTAAATGACGAGTTCTTACCTTGATCTCCACCTTCATCCTTATCTCTATACTCGTACTCATCTTCACCTTCATCATGTCTAAAA